AAATGTTTGTATTTTATATTTATAATTTTAAAGGATCTTGTATAGGTAACTACTATGAATTATAACTATAGATTTTTTTATCTTGTTTATCCACTTGTTTTTATTCTAATAACTTAAATTCACCTGTATTATATTAAAGCATTTCAATCACTTCTTAAAATTGTCTAAAATTATTTAATTAGGTGAATTGCAATAGAATGTTTAGATGTCAGTTATCAGTAAATATTTATTGTGACTTTTTTCAGATAGGAACTTCAACAGACACTTAAAACTAGCAATGTTTACTCGATCTTTAGCCAATGGACAAAAATGTAATAGGAAATGGCTTCTATATTCACCTAGTGAAGGATCTGTATATTGTTTTGTTTGTAAATTGTATGGAAGCAATCGAGAAAATCCCTTTATTTCTGGTGGTTTTGACAAATGGAAAAAATCTGAACGGATTGGCGAACATGAAAATAGTCTTCAACACAGAAATGCTACCAATAAGTGGTTATTAAGATCTAATACCAACAACTCAGTTAATAAAGAATTATGTCGTCAAATTTCTGCTGAAACAAATTATTGGTTTGAAGTATTGAAGAGACTTGTATCTGTCATTACATTTTTATCGTCTAGAGGCCTTGCTTTTCGAGGAAAGGAAGAAAAGTTCAATAGTCAACACAATGGAAATTATCTGGGCCTATTAGAACTTATTTCAGAATATGATCCTTTCTTAAAGGCTCATATTGAACAGTATGGAAATCAAGGAAAAGGCAACCCATCATACCTTTCAAAAACCATTTGTAATGAATTAATGACAATAATGAAAAATAGTTTATCTACTTTTATTATTAATGAAATAAAGGAATGTAAATATTTTTCGATAATTATGGATTAAACTCCAGATTTGACAAAAGTTGATCAAATGGCCATTATTCTTCGTTACTGCACATTAACAGGTGTGAAAGAAAGACTTTTAGGATTATTTCCCATTAAAGACCATCAAGGCCAATCTATGTACAAAATATTAGATGACTTTCTTGAAAAAAGTGAATTAGACATTATGAACATTAGGGGTCAATCTTATGACAACGCCTCAAACATGAGTGGTCAATTTAAAGGGCTTCAAGCTTATGTCAAAAATAAAAATCCATTAGCTGTGTTTATACCTTGTACAGCTCATTCGTTAAATCTAGTTGGCTTAAATAGTGTAAATTGTTGTACAGAAGCTGTCAATTTTTTTGATTTTGTACAAAAATTGTATAACTTCTTTAGTGGGTCAACTCACAGGTGGAATGTACTTATTAACATATTGAAAAAAGAAGAAAAAAATAGTGTTAAAAGAAATTATAGTCGAATTCTTACACTTAAATCCTTAAGTGACACTAGGTGGTCTTGTCATGCAGAAGCTTGTAAAGCAATAGTTGTAAATTATGAACAAATTTTGACTGCGTTAAAAAGTATGTATGATGGCGAAGAAAATAATGTTACAACTTTAGATGCTAAATCGTTATGGAAGAAAATGGTAAAAAGAGAAACTGCATATATGTCATTACTTTGGAATGACATCATGGAAAGAAGTAACAAAACGTCAACTGAATTACAACATTCAAACTGTGACACAATGAAGGCGATCAACTTATTAAAATCACTGAAGTGTTATGTGTTAAGTTTACGGGACTCAAATTCAATTTACGAAGAAAAAATACCTAATCTTAGTCCTGAAATTATCATTTACTACTCAGATGAAAAGCAAAGAAAAAAAATTAAAAAATTCCCTGATGGTAGCATAAACGAAGAATTATTAAAAGGAAAAAACAAATTTCGTGTACAGACACATATATTTATTATTGATAAATTTGTGTCAGAATTAAACAAAAGAATTTCCGTTTATGAATATATTGGTGATCATTTTTTATTTATAACACACTTAACTCAAGAATCTAATGAAAAAATTGATTTGAGTGTCTCAACATTTATTTCAAAATATAAAAATGATGTAGATATTACTTTACAGAACGAACTTGTACAATTTAAAGAATACTGGAAGCTTTGTCAACCTTCTTTTGATCCAGCTGACATTTCCAAATTATTTTCCTGGTTTGGTAATCAATCACTCGAAGAGGTTTTACCTTGTATATTTACTGCATTAAAAATATATTTGACAATTCCTGTAGATAATTGTTCTGCGGAAAGAGCTTTTTCTAAATTAACTAGAATTAAAAATAAGTATAGAACTAGTCAAACCCAAGAAAACTTAGATGTACAAATGATTTTATATTCTGAGAATGATTTGTTAAAATCATTAGACTTAAATGATGTACTAAAAGAGTTGGCTTCAAGTAAAGCAAGAAAAAAAATTTAATTAATTAAATAGTTTTTGTTTTATATATTATTAACTTAAGTTTGATATTTGTTGTATACTATTAATAAATTTAATAGTTATTATGAAAATTTGTATTTACTTTTATCATACTAAAATGAGTCATTTTATAGACATAAATTGTACAAACCTATTAATTTTCTAATTTTATAATGCTATTGACAATTTGTGAAATAGTTTAAAAAATGTATCGTTCTGCGAGCGTAGCGAGCGGCTTTGTAAAGCCTGTTTTGTCAAAAGGGCCCATATAAAATTTCAGCCCTGGGGCCCAATAGGTGCTTAATCCGGCCTTGGCTATTGGTAATTAAATTATTCTATTAATAACTTCTTATTAAGTTTTAAAATAATATCTAATACGGGATCTCCCGGATAGGCCGGATACGGAATAAAATTAATTCTTGGATTGAATAAATAATTGAATACTACTAAGTATTATTAAATAATTGGGAATTAATTATTTCGTTTAATGGAATACAATACATACCGTTTTGCGTTATGTTTTGTTTTGTGTTATTTATTTATTTACGTTTATCGTTTTCCGTTATAATTACGTTTACAAATTGCAATTGTTTTTTATCAAATATAACGTTATAATCATAACATTATTATAACGTTTGCAAGCCCTGATTTAAACATAAATTTTATAAAAAAAAAACTTCAATTTAGTTTTTTCATGGGTACTTAACATGAAAACTTAACACAATTTCGTATGATTCTTGTCGTAGTTTGAATTATATACAATATGTTGAGAATCTATTGAACTTAATTCATATAATATAAAATAATTTTGTTTAAAAGTCTGTTTAAAATATTAAAAATAATAAATGCTAATTATTGATAATTTAAATATTATGACAAAACTTTTAAAACTTTACAAAAAGCTACTTTAATATTAATCATGTTTTATGGATATCAACATATGTGGTTTAACAAACTTGTTTTTGGCCTCAGTGAATTTATTGATTTTCCTTTGAAGATCATTATGATTTCCCCAAGTTTCTCCTATTTTTAAGTAAAACACATAGAGATCATTACCATATGCTATAACGCCATAGATGTTAAATCTAAAAATATAATTCAAATATAATAATATAACCAAATATATTTTTAATAATTCGGTATTTAATCATAACAGTTTTAATTCTTCGTCTTACTTACCTTGTATTATGAATCAGAAGTGTTAATAGAATATCTATTAATGAAATTTGTTCATCATCTCCAAGAAAATCAGTTTCCACAATAATATGCTCTTGAAAAATTCTAGTAGTTTCGACATTTCCATTACAATCATTTTCAACGCAATTAGTGTTCTTTGTCAATGTATAGTTTAGTAATAAATCTTCGAGACTTTGTATGCCATTTTCTAAACGAACTATAATTGTTGCACTATTTCTTTCAATATTGAAGCATGCACAGTTATTATTAGAACAATAAACATATTCAATAGCTGATGGGCAATTAACTAATAGTTTAGTTACCATATATAAAACATTACACCTTACATATATTAGTTTAAGTTCTATTACTCCATCAACTTCTGTAAAGATGTCTTTTAATATTTGCAAACGCTCGATGTAAGTTTGTTTAGATGTTCCGTTTATAGCTAAATGCTTACAAAATGTTAAAAAATTATTTCTGTTTGAGTCCACAAAATCTCTAAATAGAGGGTAATCAATATAAGCCATAGTGATTACTGCTGCTAATGCATCAAAAGGGCATGTGTTATGGACCATATATCTTTTGTTTAAGACTCGTAAAAACGGTCGGTTCCATTTTCCTCCAAAAACGAGATACCGTTTTCCTCCACTGACCATGTTCCTCCAAAAAAATAAAAGGTTGGTTTCCATTTTCCTCCATATTNGACTTTATTTTGACATGTAAAACTGATAGACTATTTTTGGTACACTGAAATTTGTCAGAGAGTCGACTGGCGTGAAGGTGCTCGTACTGGCTCTGGTAAATCACGTCTGAATATCGGGTGGATGGGTCCCTGTTTTATAGGCCTACTCTCCACTCTTCTCCTAGCGATGAGATAGCGCTGACCCCATTTACTAATTGCACGTGTGCGTGGGTTTCCAGGAACGGTCGCCCGGTCGTGTCGGTCGATAGATTAGATATTGTAATATTATATTTGATATTATATTTGACATTTTTATAGATGTTAACTCTTTTTATTTATATTTCCGCAACGCACTTTCGGTAGTCGGATTCTCAGAACTACGCACCCGGTTTCTTATCGCGTCGTTGTTCTGAAATCCCCGAGGTCGACAACTTCCTAATGTGAATAATCTCATATTATGTCCCCCTCGCTATTTAAGCCTTTTAACATATGCGTTAGGATTTTTTTTTTTTTCTTTAATTGTTTCTATTTATTTTAAGTCTTATTTCTGTATAATTTTTTCTGCACTATATGTATTAATTGTTGAGCTATTATAGTTTATTACTAAAAGCTAATAATAAAAAAAAAAAAAAACATATGCGTATATGGCGGGACGTCAGTACATAGCACTATGTGTCTATGTAAGCTACACTCCTTTGATTACACTACTTACCTAACCTATATGACTACGTATATTTTATGGTATCAATTTTACAGGTATTGAAATTTGAAGTAGTTTATTTTTTTATTAGTCTCTAGTATTACAGTACTACAATTGGTTGAATTAATTTTTTCCTATTTGTACCTTTATAATTATAAATATATATACTCCATGTTTATATTATTATATAACTAGTCACAAGACACATTTAATAATTACAAAAATAGGTACAACAATAATAATTAACGGTAGTGAATATGTGCTTGAGGTCAATTAATATTCCTATCAATCACTGTAAAAATAATTATTCTTATTTCTTACAACTCGTCGCACATTGGCAACACTTACACCATATTTTATATTAATATTGCTATGCATTTAAATATATTTAAAATCATGATATAGTGATCCGTGAACCTCTACAAGTGTTTCATTCGATTGTCATTTTAAAACAATATGATCTTTGTCGGACGTCGTGATGATAGGCGTAAACGCGTAAACTATCGTTTCAAACACGGAAGACCATCAGCTAAAAGACAAAATTCCTAAGTTTCAGAAATCGTATTTATAAAATCAACATGCTACGAACCGCACTGCAAGATTTTTTTTCTTGTTAGACAGTGTTATATTTTCATATTTGACCTTCTCATAAAAACTGTGGTATTTACAATGTACAGACGATATCCCCCTCGGTTTGGAATTTATTTTGTACACAACGAAAAGGGCACCGCCTATAATATTAATATACATATAATATAAATGTGTGTGTGTGTGTGTCTGTGTTTGTGTGTGTGTGTGTGTCTGTCTGTGTTTGTGTGTGTGTGTGTGTGTGTGTGTGTGTGTGTGTGTGTCTGGGTCTGTGTCTGTGTGGGTGTGTGTGTCTGTGTCTGTGTGGCTGTGTGGTTGGTGTCGGCGAGGGTTGTTGAAATACACATTACAATGTATATATAAGTATATGACTGTTCTGTCTTGAGTGTCCTTGGTATAATATAATGCACGGAAAATATTATTGTACCTATATATAGTATATACTATAAATGTATGTTTATTGTACATATTATATATGTTAGAGTGAAGACCCGAAATTCGTCAAAACTAGTTTTAACTAGTCGACACTAGTTTTCACTACAGTTTTTAACAAGTTTAAACTAAATAAGAAAAATAAATAAGAAATAAGGACCAAACTTAAGTGACCAAGGTTTAAAGATGAAAATATAAATAAATAACTTAATGATATATAAGTGGATATAGATGTATAAGATTTGCTTATACCTACGCATTTAATTTGCGACGATGCGCTGCATAAAACAATAGTGATCCATTCTATGGTGTTATATTAATATTCTGCATCACTGCATGCATTTTGTGATTTTGTAATATCGTTATAATATATCATTTTATTTGTAAATACAACCAGAACAGTGCGTAACAGATGGGCAGATGTGTTAGGGCAGTGTATGGGTGGGCGTGTGTTTTTGAGTCCAGTGTATTTTCGGGCGGTTCCATTTTCCTCCAAAAACGAGATACCGTTTTCATCCACTAACCATATTCCTCCAAAAAAATAAAAGGTTGGTTTCCATTTTCCTCCATATTATTTTCGACTAAAGTTATGTCTATTATCCTACAATATTTTAGCAAAAATTTTTGTTGTAGTATTAAGTTCCGTTTTATAAAGATAGAATAAAGCTAGAATCACATTTTGCGCTTATCGGTTAATGACTACACTCTGGTATCGGCTATCTATATCAGCTATCGATTAAGCCTAATAAAAATCCGAGGGAAGAGAAGAAGTTTCTTCGTGTTTTATTGAAGATTTTATGAGCAATATACCTAACGATAATAGAGTGAATCATTATGCTGACTATTTAAAAGACACTTACATTTCAGAAAATGCTACATTTCCACCACTTATTTGGGCAGAATCATCATTTTCGTTATTACGAACTACCAATTCATGTCATTCATTCGAACTGATATTTATTGTAAAATAAGAAGTATTCATACACCGAAAAAATCAAAAGACTACCGAGCAAACAAACGTCGTGAAGCAATCGACAATGCAATTATTAAATTACAAAACGAAGACATTTCTAGGTATGTAATTACAAAAAGTAAAATAATTATTCATATTAATTGAATAAAAATAATTAAACATGTATAATTTTTTTTTTTAAACAGGTATTCATTTGTTGCTGAAATGTCATATAATTATAAAAAAATATAATAATAGGTATATTCAATTCATTTTTATTCTTATTAACTATTTTATTATTTTTTTTTTATTTAGAGCTTTCTGTATTATACAATTATAGCTCAAATTATTTTATTTATATTGAACATAATGACCTGACAAACATTTTTTTTTTTTGCTGTGCATAAATTATTTATAAAAACTATTTTATTATTTATTGGAGGAAAATAGAAAGTGGAGAAAAACGGTAT